GCTGTGCAGTCGTAGGTATAGAGTGAGTACAGGAGTACTGGACTTCTTTAAGCTGTTTCACTTCTTATCCAAGAAGCTTCTTCAGTTCTAAAACTACATGGTGAAGAGTCCCAGAAATCCCTAATGGAAGTTGTAATAATATAGTAATAATATAGTCAGTAAACCTTCGGGTAGTTATGGTAGTTCTGTTCAAGTCCTGCTGAAAAAGGAAATCACCATCTTAATAAAATTTGTCAGCAGATGGACACATGAAGTCTAAAATCTCCTGATAGCGCTACTTTTCTTCCAGATTCCATTACCTTGATTTCCAAATCGAACACAAAATACACTTTTATCTTAAAAAATGACTTTGGATCACTGAGCAACAGCCCACTTTGTGAGTGAGATACTTCTGATATCATCTGTTTCAGGAGTGGCTTGATATTAACAGCGTGACAACTGAAGCCCCTTTCCTGAAGATGTTTGAATGCAGAGAAATGAGTGAGAAGATCACCTTTCACTCAATCGGAAGTTGGCGTCAAAAGTCTTACCTATGATTTCGCTTTTTTCTATTGAGCAATTATTAGAGTAATACACAGAATTTATAAAATCTAGAAATGTATTCAAATTTGAAATAAAATATTCTAATAATAACAACAACAACAACAACAACCCAAAATCATCATAAATTTTTTTTAATGTTATTTTTATGCAATAGACAAGGAGTGCCTCCTTGTTCAACAACAACAAGTTCTATTCTATTGTAAGATATCAGCAGAGTCAGAATTAAACATGTAACATTAAAAGTAAACATTTTAGGGTAGTAGCTATCGATTAATAAAGTTCGTATTCTACAGATCAGTGGTTCTCTACCTGGCTTTTGGACCCACCATCACCTTCATATGACAAACTACGACCCCAAATTTTCCAACATCAAATTTTTTGAATGATAATGTTGTGCAGCTTGAACTGCACAGTATTACCAAACAGATCTGCAAGAGGCGAACTCTTCTACACCAAAAAGACCGCTATTTCCGATCGTAGTTCATAAAAACGGGACAGCACCTTTCCCCACCAAAGCCAGCATACCTCTGCATGATACAAGAGCTGCACATGCTCACTGCCAACATCTTGGCACAGTTTTAAAAACATCTTAAGCTCCATTTAATGTAGTCCACTTGGATGACTTTTAATGTCTCTGGAAGCTCGGGAACCATATCCTTTGTTGCCAGGGCCTGCTGATGCAGAAAACAATGGTTCCGAGTTGCATTTGGACCTTCCTCAAGGATTCTCCTTATGACCCCAAGATTTTTTCTGTTATGGAGGCAGCACCATCACTTGTGATACTGGCGCACAAATGGGGCTTCTTTAACTTTGCAATGTCGTGTGCTACCAGGTTAGATGCATTGAGAGCCTGTTCATGCTTCAAGCATGAAGATTTGAGTCTGATATAATCAGACATGAAAGACCTTTGTCTTATTGATGAGCATGAACAAATATTCAAAAGAGAAAAAATAGATCTTTTAAAATAAACAATATTTTATATCCTGGATAAAACTGGTGTGTGTTCATGACATGTCTGTCAGCAGGTGTCATTGCGGCTGTCGTTGGCCTTCAGCTAATTTAAACATGGCATCAGATGAATCAGTATCAGTTGATCTGCATATTTTAATCCAACTTTTGTAGCTTTACTGTAGATCTTCCCTGTGTAAAACTAAACGTGGTGGACAGGACCAGCTACAAAGTTAGCTTTTTTAAATTTTACATTTGATAAAGGCCTACCACCACCACTAAACTTTAATGGTGATTACAGTACCACTGTTTTGGACCCTAAAAAAACTGTTTTATTTCACTCCACCTGAGCTCAACGTCTCAATACCTGCTTCACCTCTTTACTCTTCATGATGTGTATGTGTGTAGACACAATCATTGTGTTGTCAAAAACAAACAAAAACCCAACAGAGGGATGCATTGGCTTAATGTTGTCATACTTTGCAGCCTCCAAATCACTGAGTGATCTGAAACTGGCATTGGGTATTGAACTTCAGTTCAGGTGACATTTTGACCATCTCATACTGAATGTACGTATTCATAAGAATCAACCTACTAGTAGTTACTTTTAAACCATAAACCACATTTATATTTTAGATAAAATAACCAGTAATATAGTTAATTGTGCACATGTGCTCTAGGTGGCTAACATAACTTACCTGGAGCAATGCCAGATGGACTACAAGGTAGGCAGTCAAAAACGACATTTCTCAGACTGAATATGATGGACATTCACTAAACGTTTCCACAGAATACTTGTGTTTCTGCCTTTACAAACAAATGACCTGTTGCATTTGAGGCAAAAAGCACTGTCAGCACTGACTCCAGCTAAGCACAACCAAACTTTTGAACATTTAATTCTCTCCACCATCCTCACAAAGACCAGGGTCTGCGGGTGTGTGTGAGACAGAGCTGTGCCACACCCGCCCCTCACATGCAGGCTCTTTTATGCTGACAACTTTTATGTAGAGATAATATATCTGTTTTCTTAATTTCTCCACTAACAAAAGCAGTGCTTTCAATGTAATGTTGGTTATTGATACTTTGGGTCTTCAATAATTTAGCCCATTCTCTATTCAACACAGTTGTATTTAAAGCAAGCTGTAGTTAAAAACAATTAAAGCGAGGGAAAAATAGAATTTGTTCCCCTCAATAAAAACCACAGTGCATACACTAATGTATGCACTGCAATTTCTAAAATTCAAACATATGAGCAGCCGATTTTAAATTACCCGTGTTTTTTCTCTTTGAATATTTATTATTGCTCACAAATAACACAAAGGTAATTCTTATCAGATTACTCAATCAATTGCATAATTGATAGAATACTATATTACTAAAATAGTCAATAGATGTAGCCCTTCTACAGAGCAAGTTCAAAATATCCAGGATCTCTTTTCCTTAACTGGCTTCAGCTATGCCAACAGAAGTAGTTATCAACTTGTCAGCAAAGGGGGTTGCCAGCTTAGTAAGTTAAGTAAGGGTTTCCCAATCTAGGTGTGAGCATGTTAGCATGAAAGGGGTGGTGCTGCTACTATACACAACCAGTCAGATACATAAAAGGACTGGAAATATGCTACTAAGTTGATTAAGTCTGGAATCTGCCTTCATTCAAAAGTAGATCTAAACAGAATATTGAAATAAGTTTTTTCAGGTAAGGCAGTTTTGGAAAGTCTTAAGCAATATTGCTCAAATGCTGGGATAAAATATAATCAGTTTAACAAACATTACAACACAGTTCCAGAATTCAGCGCCCATACCTAACAATACTTTTTTCAATTTCACCAAAATAACACTATGTGCAAAATAAATAGATAAAATAATACAAATAAAATAATAATCATTCCATCCCATTCATAAACCAGCAATGTAGTGACAATTAGTGTCAAAACATTACCCTCTTGTGCGTATTTTATTATTTCAATGTTTTAATTCAATAGACACATTTGACTGATTAACATAGCAAAATTACTAAGTCCAAATAAACCTAAGAGCCTGGTATCACACTTGAAACAGTGAGCCTGTTAGCGACCTTGTTTACCGTTAGTATCAACTACAACAGCAGCAGATGGTTAAGGTGCAGAGGGTATTTCAAACGTAATTAAATTAACTGTTACCGTCTTAGGTAGTTAGCGTAAACTGCTGATTACTAACCTATTCCGGGAGCCACGTAAATGAAGTAGAGACAAGTGGTGGACATGGAGAAGATGAATATGAAGGCCAAAAATGATCGGTTGGACATTCGCAGCAGCCGCCTCCAGTTCACCATTTTAGCTTATGCCCGCTTCTCTCTTCGCCGATAAGAATCCCATAAAAATACTTTTTGAAGTTAAATGTTCCTCCAGTTGGTAGATGTCAATGCACAGGTGTGGCCAGAGGAAAAAAACTGCACTATCAAAAACTACAGGTGCAGTGCGGAAAAGGCTAACGCTAGCAGTGCTAGCTGGCCTGCTCTCACCTGCCAAGAAATTTCGAGATGGTAAAAGCAGGCCTGTAACGTTACTATCAGGCTACTGTGAGCTTCCAGCTGTACCAGCAGCCGGGCATTGTGAAAGAGTTCCACGACCGACTTAGTGGCAGCAGTAGTTAAGGGATTTCATGGTACTGGCCCATAGTTAGAGTGTCGCCAGCGAGAACTTTTATCGCTAGCAGCTGAAGATGGTCATTGAGGGGGGCAGGACCGCTCTGCCTTCTCCATCAGTCTGCTCTCAGCCGGTGCAACGTTTTCCACACAGTCGGCACCCTGTTTCATCAAATCAAGCTGATAAGCCTATTCATTCCACAAACTGTCGACACTGTGATCTCGCACGGCTGGGGCATTCAACACTACTAAGTGCAGAATGATTTGGAAAAATAAACTCACGAAAAAAGAAAAGTAATACTTCCGATTCATTTTCTGCTGGCACTGCACTGTTTCCGGGGGGTGTGCTCCTCCACATTTCCATGAAAACCAATGAGCGTGACGTGTCTGTGTCGGTTCTCAATCATCCAGGCCATAAGAATAAGAAATAATAAGAATAACTGTTGATCTCAGAGGGAAAAATCATATATCTGCTAACTGTATGAGAATTGAAAAGCCTGATGGCTGTGGGGGCGAATCATTTTCTGTATTTCTCCGTTTGACAACAAAAAGACGGGCGACTTCCAGTATTGATTTGGGGGGGTTTTCGTCTATGAAGATGTTATAAATTGGGTTATTGGAGTTGTTCAGGATGGCATCAACTGTCTAGTTTGTTATCTAGGTGTAAACGTAGATATTTATACTTGTTACTGCTCAGAACTTTCCTATCATTTCCTTCGTCTTAGAGGTGTTCAATATAATAGCAGTTTTTGTGACTCCAGTCACTGGAAGCTTTTACAAGATCCCTGTATTTAGATTCTGTCTATTCCTGATGCATGGCACTAATGGCAGCATCATCTGAGTATTTCTGGATGTGGCACGAGTGTGCTGTATAAAATGTGAAAAAGAAATAGACCTGGAACGGTCCCCTGTGGCACTCCCATACTGCTTATTAACATTCCAGAAACAAAGTTCCCCAGTCTCACAAACTGTGGCCTTTCTGTCAGGTAGTCTGTGACTTAGAAAACAAAGGAAGAATCTGTTCCCATCTCTGTGAGCTCGTCTTTGAGTATATTTGGTTGAATAGTATTGAAAGCGTTTGAAAAATGAACTCTCATAAAAGTGCCAGATTCCTCCAGATGAGCTAGGACATGATGAAGCATGTAGAGGACAGCATCATTCACTTGAATGTGTTGTTTGTATGCAGATTGCAGGGGAAGTCTGGTTTTTACCTCGAGTTTCAGTTGGTGTCATAATCAGCTGCTTTAAGGTTTTCTTGACTACTGGTCTGTAGTCGTTCAGTTCAGCTGGAGACTTTTTGTACCGGCACAATACAGGATGTTCTCCACAGTGATGGCCAGAGTACAGACATTCTGTAAAAGTAACAAAGTATTTGTTACCGTACTTAAGTAGAATTTTCAGGTATCTTTACTTTACTTGAGTTTTTCTGACAGCTTTTACTTTTACTTTTCTCTCTACATTTCTAAACAAATAGCTGTACTTTCTACTGCTTTAAAGGAGGCTCATTATTTTTGGTTTAAGGGATATGGGAGAAGTCCTTATTTCACGTCACTGCGGGCCTTCAAAAATCAAACTGATTTAAGCCTGAACAGTAACACGTGAAAGTCAATCCTGTTCATGTATTAATCACCAGGGGACGTCGCATAAAAAGAGATCAAAGACGCACAATCATGTGCTATAGTCAGGGGTTAAAGAGGGTGTTTGTGTTGTGTTTTCTTTTTTCTTGCACAGCACCAGAATGATTGCAGACAGAGAGGACAGGAGTGAAAGAAGAGAGGTTCGATTTAATGGTAAGGACTGCTCAGTGATGCTTGATAAACTGCATATGTTAAGCTTGCATGTAAAGCCATCAATTTAACCATGTACTGGATCTGTATATGGTGTGTTTTGATAAATTATGTATTTTTATGCTGTAAAAAATTTTGCAAATCAAACTAAGCTATACCAGCTTTGTGTTATTCAAAAATATATGCAGTCCTGTGGTGAATTCACGGTAATGCTGTTTGTTTGACTGGTGCTCAGTGGCTGTGGTCCTCATGGTCAGATTTAGGTTACATCAAGTGTAGCAGAAAAAAGGGGAGCGGGTAACCTGATCACAGCCTGTACACTAAGAAAATCTGCTGAAGCTCTTATAAGAAATTATTGGTGTTGTGATTCTTTTCCTTCTTTTGAACTACTACACAGATCTTAGGGTTCCCCTACCTGCTGAATTCCACTGTAGCCCTTGACTGTACTCATTTTACTTTTAAGGTGTGGATGCAAAGTCACCCTATACAATGTAGACAACAGAAAATTGTTATTTTTTTTAAAATTCCCTTTCACTGCTTGTGTGCTACATTACAGATTCAAGCTGAGTACAGTCCTTAGTTAGAATTTAGATTTGAATAACATTTGTAGTATCATGTTCTATCTAATATTGTTTTATTATTATATTAACATAGCACAAAGTTAAATTTTTACAGAGATGTTTAGTAGAATTGTCCTTCAAGAAGCTACTTTTTACTTTCTTACTGTGAGTACATTTCAGAGCCTGTGCTTTTCACTTTTGAGCAAAGAAGTTGCTTCAGTATTTCAACTTTTTACTGGAGTATTTTTTTAAAACAGCTATCAGTACTTCTACTTAAAGAAAGTCTGGGGCGATCGTGGATCAAGAGTTGGCAGTTCGTCTTGTCAATTGAAAGGTTGCCGGTTGGAGCACCGGCTCAGATACTCTCGGTCGTTGTGTCCTTGGGCAAGACACTTTACCTGTTGCTTACTGGTGGTGGTCAGAGGGCCTGGTGGCGCCAGTGCCTGGCAGCCTCGCCTCTGTCAGTGCGCCCCAGGGCAGCTGTGGCTGCCACCAGTGTGTGAATGGGTGGATGACTGAATGTGGTGTAAAGTGCTTTGGGGTCCATAGGGACTAAGTAAAGCGCTATACAAATACAGGCCATTTACCATTTTTTGCCACCTCCGTCATGTACAGAGTGAATTGACTATTGGCTACTTTGTTGTGCTTTCTTTAAGTAGTATTCAGGAATAATTCTCCAGACTTCTTGAAGGTTATTGAAAATCTGACCTTTGGAGGCTGACCACCTTTTGTTTGTGTATTGTCAAGATGATCCCACACTGCTTTAATAATGAAGATGTCAGAGCTGTGGAAGTCCAGTCCATTAGTAATACTGTGCCTGTGTGATGTGTTTTACTGCATTAGTGGTGGGCTTGAGAATCTGAAGTTCCTCCAGATTCCCTGAATCTTTTAATTACGTTATGCACCGTTGAAGGTGAAATATCCAAATCTCTTCCTTCTTTCTTTGAGGAACATTGTTTTTACACATTTCAATAATTTTCCTCACGTAGTTGTTGGCGATCCTCGGTCCATCTTTGCTCCTAAAGGGCTAGATGTTTCTTGAATGCTACTTTTGTACCAAATCATAGTTACAATCACCTGTTAACATCACCTGTTTCAAATCACATTATTATTTAACCAATTTACCTGATTACTAGTTGTAAATTGCTCCCGTCCCAACCTTTTTTTGGAATGTGTTGCAGGTCTGAATGACAGGAAAGGATGAACATTTACAAATGAAGTTGACCAGGCAAAACTTTTTAAAGAAAAATTTGTGTTTACCATACTGTTCCAACGTTTTCTGATATTTAGTTTTCTTTTTCTGTGCTGCATAATTCCATGTATCTTGCTTCACATCTTTGTCTTCAATATGTATCTACTATGTAGAAAGCAGTAAAAATAAAGGTCAGCTGTTTAAGGTTTGTATGGTGGAATAGTTTGCACTATTGTAATGCAGGTTTCCTTTGCATAAATCTTCCACTGCACCAAGGGCGTAGATTTGGTTTTGGCATTGGTGGGGACGGATGATTCAACCACCGAACCCTGCCCTGTTTCTTTTTTTTTTTTTTTTCCCCTTTTCGTCTTTGCTTCTTGATTTAATAAATAAAAATAAAAAATAAAAAAAGGTGAAATATACTTGCCTACATATGCTTTTCTACGTGCTTTTAAACCATTTAAAATTACAATTCATAGTTTTATATGTGAATTATATAATGTTAAGTTACTATTAAACAAATGACTAAGTATTTTATACTTTAGTTTACTTCAACCATATTTCATATAAATCAGATATCATACAAAAATAAAAATAGCTTAAAATACAGTCCGACAATAAAAGAATATGACTTTAAGGACTTAACATTACTTCAGTTATATTACACCAACATCTCTGATACATTAGCACTAAGGGAACACTGAATGACCTGGTGGTTTTTGTCCATAAAACTACTCATCTAAGATTACCACAAAGTAAAAGATCTCTTAGCAAAATTATGCAACATTTTAGGCACACTATTGCCCCGATCAAGTCAGTGAGCTGGGGTGTTTTACTCTAAACATGAACTACTGTTACAGCAACAGACATGGACTACTGGTGTCCCACACAACAACTCAATGTCCACTATGTGAAGGAGCCAAACACATGCCTGCTCCTCTCGTTAACTGAGAAACTGCTGGCATATTTGTTTTACATCTATACTGTCCAGTCTCTCCTGGTGGTGGCAACAGGTTATTCATGGTTACATACAATTTTAGACTGATGTGGGCCAAAGCCTAAAACGATGCGCCGGGAGTTTGCTGTTCTCCCTGGTTCAGATATTTGAAGTTTGCACAGCTACATTCTCGCCTGAAAATTTTTTAAAAGTTTATTTTGCAACCCAGAAAGAGTAATAAGAGGGGCACTGAAATTCGGGATTGTCCGAGAAAAAACGGGAGGGTTGACATGTATTGCCTGTAACGTTATTATGATGGACAGGTTTTATGAGTGAACTTGACTTTAAGTGACTTACAGGTTTCTTTGAAAAATACTTTCTTATATCCAGGTTCTTTTTGCTGCCATCCTCCTCTCCTGCTCGCAGCGCAGGATTGCCGCTGCTAAAACTAAACAGAGCTCCCTGAAAGGCACAGCCAATCACATTGGCCATATTTGTCACATGATATAGGACTCCAGTAGAGAACGTAATTTAACTCTTTCTGCACCGCTGGGTGAATGAGATGTAGACAGATCGTTTTTTTTTTCTTTCTATCGGTTTTGTTTTTCTTTACTCGAAGAGATCAAATTATTGGTGGGGACAATTCAATAATCGCTGGATATTGGTGGGGACATGTCCCTTCCGTCCATGCCAAATCTACGCCCTTGCACTGCACCCAAGTCTTAATCAGAATAATATGTGCACACTGCTCTACAATTCCTATCAGCCATTTCTTATATCAAAAGCATATTTATTTTTCTTCAGCGTCCTCTCATTTATTAGAATTGCCACACTGTTTTCAGAGAGA